ACACACACACACACACACACACACACACACACACACACACACACACACACCCCTACCTCTACTACATACACACATGCACACACACCCCTCTGTCACACAACCTCACACACCCCTCCTGCTACATACACCCCTTCGGAGACACACACACACACACAACCTCACACACCCCTCTGCTACATACACCCCTTGGACACACACACTCACACCCCACTGCTACATACACCCCTTGGGGACACACACACACACACCCCTCTGCTACATACACCCTTTGGACACCCCCTGCCCCTCACCTGCTTACCTTCTCTCATTGCCTTGCTCTGATGGGGGGACGGGACCTCAGACAGCAGGGCTGGGTGGGTTGAGATTTGGGAGATGGGGGGGGGGCAAAGGGATATCTATCTCTTCCCACAGCCTCCCCCCTTTCTGCTCCAAGCTCTCCCCTCCCACTGCGCTCCATCCCTCTCCCTTCACAGCCCCCCTTTCACTACAGGGGTGATTCCTGCCCCCCACCCCTCTTCCTCCGGCGGTGGCTGGCTTGGGGGCCCCCCTCCTCTTCAGGCAGCCACGGCCCGCAGCGCCGGGCTCCAACCTGCGCTCGCCTGGCTGGGCGGCGATGGGCTGTGAATGTTAATGACCCTGGCGCTGTGTGTGTGAGTGTGAGTGTGTGTCCCAGGCGGTGTGTGTGTGTGTGTGTGTGTACGCGCCAACCGGGGCGGGTGTAGCTCTGCGTTAGAGGAGTCAAACCACCCGCTCCCCCCCGTCCCCACTGCGCGCTCCCCGGGCGCACGGAGAAAGGTGACCCAAGGGGAAGGGGAAAAAACCAGCCAAGCGGTGTCCGGGCGAGCAGGGAGGAGACACGGGCCGGCGGATCGGCCATTCTGGAAGGAGGAGAGGAGAGGGGCCCTCCCCGGCCCCCCTGCCGGAGAAACTGGGGCGGGGGGGGAGGATCGGGGCTCCGGGCGCCCGGAGCCGAAGCAGACGCGTTTGGCATCGCGCTAACTTCGGATGCAACATGTGTAGCGGCTGCCGGGCGGCGGAGCTGGGGCTGCTGCAACCTTGAAGAGGGACAGACGGGGGGCGGCGATGTCGCCTCCTGGGAGCTTTCCCCGCGGGGGGGTTTAGCCTGGGTTTTCTCCAGGCAGGACAAAGTGGGGAGGGGGGAGGGGGAGGGAATCCGCCGCTGCCCGGGTTGCGGAGCGGGTGTTGCTCCGGATTTTGCACGGCTCCGGCTCTGCTGCAGAGGTTTCTGAGCTCCCAGCCCTGCTGTGCAACGGAGGTGTCATGAAAAGGTAAGAGGCTTCCCCCTTCCTCCTGGGCTAGGGCTGGGACACACTCACACCCCCAGACAGACTCACTGACACACACACACACACACACACACACAACCTGACACACACACCCTGACCGCCCTGACACACACACTGACCCTGACACACACACACTGACCCTGACACACACACAGACACACAAACATCCTGACACACACACACAGACATTCTGACCCACATACACAGACACTCTGACACACAGGCACCCTGACACACAGAGACACATAAATAGACACCCTGACCCTGACACAGACACAAACACTCTGCCACACAGACACATATCAAAACACAGAGACATCCTGACAGACAACCTGACACAGACACCCTGACCCACAAATAGACACCCTGACCCAAACAGACAGACATACACTCAGACACCCTCACACACACACACACAGAGGTTATTATGCAGGTGCAGTAGGCACAGACGGATTGTGCATTTCTGGGCTGTGTGAGTGGCTTGTGGCTGTGCAGAGGCCATTTGGCTGTCAAGCAGCAGAGAGAATTTCTCTTTCATTATCTATTTATCCATCCCCAGACACAGCATCTATCTATCTATCTATCTATCTATCTATCTATCTATCTATCTATCTATCCCCATCCACCCATCTATCTATCTATCTATCTATCTATCTATCTATCTATCTATCTATCTATCTATCTATCTATCTATCCTATCCCACTCACCCTATCTATCTATCTATCTATCTATCTATCTATCTATCTATCTATCTATCCTACTCCCACTACCTACCCTATCTAACTCTAACTCTA